TCTAATCCTTCATGGAAACCGCCGTCAGGCATTACTTCGTGAAGGGAGGATCTAGCTACTGCTCTTCCTTCTGGTGGCTAAGGTGTTAACTACCTTCCTTCTATCTTCTGCTATTTGCTCTTCTTCTTTCGGTGGAACGCAAGAAGAAGAGCAAATAGCAGAAGATAGAAGGAAGGTAGTTAACACCTTAGCCACCAGAAGGAAGAGCAGTAGCTAGATCCTCCCCTCACGAAGTAATGCCTGACGGCGGTTCCCATGAGGGATTAGGATAGAAGAGAAAGGGGTTTAGGGTTTAGTGGGTAGGGGCGTCAGCGTCAAGTTTTTAGTATGACGCTGCGTCGAGTCGCCACATATCCGGGCCAACATCTATGCCTAGAATCCGTAAAAAGGATTCCCCCCCCCTAAAGGGAAAAAAAAAAAAAAAAAAAAACAACGTAGATTATTTAGTCTACTGGACTGCGTTGACGTTCGAGAAATTACTTATCTCGAGGTATTTCCGTTACGAATTACCTCGAGTGATGATTAATTAGTTTAAATATTAATTAATAAAATTTAAAATAAATTTAAAATTTGCCAGAACGTAACTGAAGTAATGATAAAATAAATAATCTTGTAAGTAGATAATGAAAATATTTTATATTTATTTACAGATGGAAAATTCCATTTACTTCCTACAGGTGAACTTCTGATCCATAGTTTAGAATTCAGTGATCAATTCTTAAGTTATAGATGTAGGACAATGCATAGACTAACTAGACAAGTGGTTGTAAGTTCATCAGCGAATGTCAGAATATCAGGTAATATATATTTTTTACCGTAGAAGATAGGTATCATTTAAAATAATGTATTTTTAATTACAGAGTATATTTTTGAGTGCCTTATACAAGTAGCTGTGTCATAGTCAAATGCGCACACACACACACACACACATACACACACACACACACACACACACACACACACACACACCCGCGCGCGCGCGCGCGATTTTTGCAAAACGGGTTGAAAACAATAACTTCCCGATTTTTTCAAATCTTCAATTTCTTAGCGGGGAGTTGAAAATTATAGAACAAATCGTAATTCAATCAACTATTAAAATGGAGCTGTTGATTCTTTAAATTCGACAAAAAATTATCTTTGTAGAGAATTTAATTTCCTACAAAACCATACAAAGGGGTTTTTTTATATGTGATATATCGAATTTTCTATAACCAATTAATAAGTGAAAAAAAAACTTTTTTTGGCGAAAATTCTTCTTTTTGCGAGCGCTAACTGGAAAATGAAGATAGAGGGCTCAAATTTTGGCACAATTTTTTTTTCGTAACTCTCAACGACATTTTTATATGGAACCGAAAAAAAAATAGTCCATTCATTTGGCACAGTTTAATATACATACGATATAACGTGGCTTGTTACGACGATACTGTCGCCAATTTTCAACGGATCTTTACCAAACTCAACATACTTATTCTACAGATAGATACCGAAGTCAAGTTCGAAAATGAACTTAATCGGTTAAGTAATTTAGAAATACCAGGATTTCAAAATTTTGGAAATCATAAAAATTCATATTTCTTCACTTTCTTACTCGAATAACTTACGAATGGGATAATTTATTGAATCTCTGTAAATTGCATCTGAAAGCTCTTTAATTAAGCTTCATTTTCAGTATTAATCATATGTGTAGTCTTAAAATTATGTCCTTTTTGCTATGCCGATTGTGAAATTTGCTGTTGCACTGGTTTTTCATTTTATTTTTTTTGTATATATTCTTAGTAGTTTTTTTTTTCTTTTGATTATGAAATCTACTTCCATTCAGCTGCTGAATGGCTTATTTTTAACTTGAACTTATTATATTTATATGTAGAATCCGAACAAAAACAGTTTCACTGTAAAAAAATCGCGCCAAGTCCACGTTCATAAGACTATTAAGAAAAAAAAATTAGTTTTTTTCTTTACAAAA